TTTGACAGAGAGAGACACAGCGAGAGAGGGAACACAAGCAGGGGGAGTGGGAGAGGGAGAAGCAGGCTTCCCGTGGAGCAGGGAGCCGATGTGGGGCTCGATCCCAGGACCCTGGGACCATGACCTGAGCTGAAGGCAGTCGCTCAACCAACCGAACCACCCAGGCGCCCGACCCTACCTCTTGACGGGAGACATGTCAAAGAATTTAGGGGCCATTGTTTAAAACTGCCAGACCCCGAGTAGCCTCTCCTGTTGGGTGAGGGGCTCAGGAAAACCACACTCTGGTGGGTCGGTCTTATGTGCACAGGACAGAGACAAACGCCACCAGCTTCCTATGCCAAGTCCTCATGAGGAGCTCATGTGGGGAGCGTGTCACAGAGCTCCAGGGACGGGGCGCGATTGTCAGGGATGATTCCTGGTGTCACCTGTGCCAGGCTCTGGGGGAGCGAGGACAAGACCTTAGGGAGTGGCTTTAGAGGGGAGTGCATGGTCTAGAGGGAAGATTTTTTTTTTAAGATTATTTATTTATTTATTTGACAGAGAGAGAGAGTGAGCCCGAGCGGGAAGGGCAGAGGGAGAGGGAGAAGCAGGCTCCCCGCTGAGCAGCGAGCCCGATGTGGGACTTGACCCCAGGACCCTGAGATCATGACCTGAGCTAAAGGCGGACGCCTAACCGACTGAGCCACCCAGGCGCCCACGGAGGGAAGATTTTTAAGGAAACACCACCAACCTGGTGTAACAGGTACCACATGAGAGACGTCTCGGGAAGGGACACTCCACGCTGCCTCAGGAGCTCAGAGCAGGCTTCTCGGAAGAGGTGACGTCTGTGCCGCGGGAGAAGGGCATCGGGGTACGCGAACAAGCCTAGGCAAAGGCAAGGAACCAGGAGCAAACAAATGGTTTGGGCAACTACAAGTGATTCAGTGTGGCTGTAGGGTGCGCAGAGCTGAGACACAAAGCTCCGGGGACATGGGGGGGGGGCCGGGTTCCAGCAAGGATCACAAGGGTAGATCACTTACGGCTGAGAAGTACGCGTGCGCCATGAGAGCAAGGGAATGTCCGTAGACTCTTGGCACTGCCGTTAACCCTGAGGGAGACGCCAAGGAGGAGGTGGGTCCGGGAGGGCGGTGGGTTTGGACGTGGAGACTCTGCGAGGCTCGTGGGGCATTCAGGTGGAGATTGCACTTAGAGCTGTGTTTGGTCAGCTCTGGATGAGGATCCTATAAGACGTGGAGAGCTGCTGATGGACAGCCTTGAACGTCAGGGTCAACGGCCAGGTCTACATGCCATAGGCAGGGAAGAGCTAGGGAAGGGCTTTAAGTAAGAGGTCGCAATGGCTAACGCTTAATGACGGCCCATGCATGTTCGGCACCGTCACAAGCATCGTCCGTGAACTATTTGGACCTCACCGTAATCCTGTGAAGTGCTGCGACGCTTCACCGAAGTTAAGAGATCACCGATGGTAATATAGAACAGAACGCCCCGACGCGTCTTCGATTTCAGAGCTGTTAAAATGTAAACAGGAGAGAAAAAAAAGAAACCATCGAATCGATGAACTACATGATTTGCATTTCAAATGCGAGGAAAAGGGAATGGAGAAGTTACAGGAACTTGCCTGAAGTCCAGTGAGACACAGAGCCAGGATTTGAAACCCCGGCAGCCCGACTACAAAGCCCAAGTTCTGAAGAACCATCATTTGACGCCGGACGGGACATCGTCCACAGTGTGGAGTTTTGCAAAGACCACGGAGGGTAGGGCAGAGGAGAGGGGAGTGGGCAGTCGGGTGGCACCCTTCGGAGACTGGAGTCCACAGTCAAAGGGGTCTAGAGTGGGCTGGGGGCCACAGGACAGGAGGAGGGCACAGATAGGCTAGAGTCCTTCAAGAAGGGGCAGAATCGGTTGACCCACTGGGCGTTGGGTGTGGAAACAAGGACAACTCCAACATGTTGAGCCTGGAAAGAGGGTACAGAGGAGGGAGGTACGAGGCAGCTGCTGTGGACCGGAGGGGAGCCGTGGGGCCTGGCTGGTCAGTGGCTGTGGCTTCTCATCCCAGCTTGGGCGGTCACGCCCCCTGGTGCCTGCTGGGCGCTCACTAGGCCTCTGTCAAAGGAAGGGATGAATGAGTTGTCGTATGATCTTGGGCAAGTTGTAGGAACTTGATATATGATCTCTGGGTCTCTCGCTCTCTTTTTTTGGGGGGGTGTAAAATGAACAGATTGGACTCGAATGTGTAAAATAAAATGGAAGGTACTTTCCTAGAAGAGGTAGGCGTTCCTCTCTCCATCCCCAGGACCTTTATGGGCACCCCAAAACAGTGGTTCTAGCCTTGGCTGGCTGTAAGGTAGATGAACTGAGGCCTCATTTGACACCACTAAATTCAGAATCTCTGGATATAAGGCCCAGGGATGGATAGTTGGTGGGTTTTTTTTTTATTTTTTTATTTTTATTTGTTTATTTATTTTTAAAGATTTTATTTATTTATTTGACAGAGAGACACAGAGAGAGAGGGAACACAAGCAGGGGGAGTGGGAGAGGGAGAAGCAGG